AGGGTTTGATGGTGCAGTTCTTGAGGAAGTCTTCTTCCAGGTGGCTCATAAAAAGGTTGGTATACTGTGGGGCCATTTTAGTGCCCATAGCTGTTCCCATCATCCGGAGGAAGTGTTGATTATTAAAAGTGAAATTGTTGTGTGTGAGGATGAAGTGTATAAGGTCATTAATATCTTTGGGTCTGTATTCTGGGTTGTAATCTTGTTCCTGTAGATATGTAAGGCAGGCTTGGATGCCATCCTGGTGTGGGATGTTGGTATATACGCTGGTAACGTGCCTGGCAACTGACTCCCCAGCCCAGCCTCTGGCTTCTTTTTTTCAATCCATCCAGGAAGAGCACACACCAACTGCTGAAACTTCCTTAGCCTGACGAAGGGTTTTTGAACCCGAAAGCTTGCTTAATAACTAGTCTCCAACTATTTCGGTTGGTCTAATAAAAGATATCAAATTCACCCAAGGAACCTTGTCTGCCTATGTCCTTAGACCAACACAGCTACAACCTACACCCCTGCAATCACTTAGGTAGGGCACTTTGCTCCAAGCCAATACCAGGCCACCTCAGGCATCTACTCCCTTGTTGGGGCCTTGGCCTTCCCAGCCTCTGCCTCTTTCCTTTGGCTGTGCCCTTTGCCTAGGCCCGCTACCTCAGACCTGGCTTCTCGGCTTCAGTCCCTTTCTCTGCCTTTCTCAGGCATTGGGCCCCTGGCCCTGTCTCTTTTCCTGTCCAGGCTTTAAGCCCTCCTGGCTGCTACCTACCCACATTGTGAGCCCAACCCCTGGCAGGGCTTCAAAACACTACGTGCCCTTGGGCACTACTGTGGCTTGTGCCCTGCTTGGCAGGCTCAAGCCCCCCCTCTTCCCCCAGCTCTCTGGCACTCTATGACCTCCTCCTTTCCTATTATTCACAACCCAATCCGGTGGTAATACTAATTAAAACATAAATACCAGCACAATGGTTGTATAACAAAAATCCTCCGCACAAGCTATAATTCTCCCTTAGCTTTTCCTTATGGCTCTCTGGGGTAGCTTGGGTGCCAGACAGTTCATTTCCTACAGCTGTCTTGCTCAGGAGCTCCTCTCCTTTTGGTTTGCAGGGCCAGACTGTTTGCCTAGCCTCAGGCACTGGCCTTATGTGCCTCCTAAGCCCTGACATCTCGTATTAGATGGATCTCCAGCCACCCACAGGGGTTCCCACTTTGGGCCTGATGACCAGTCTACCTTGCTTGGCTGGGATGAGGCCTACTGCCTGCAGCCCTTCTCTTAAAGTAACAGGAGCCCTCTGGCTCCCTATTACAGGAGTCAAGAAGATAAAGTGACTTATCTTACAATTCTTCTTCTGATAATCATCTGTGTAAGGCCCCTAACATATGTTCATTTAATGGCATGATGAGATCTAATCTCTGATCCCAACATGATCTCCTGCCATGTCACATGTGTCCATTTGTAGCAGGATATGGTGTGGGATTAAAGATCAAATTCCAATCACAGTATTACTGCTTGCCAGTGCAGGAAGAGCCCAGATCATGATCAAAGGCTCCCCTTGCACCAGCAAGTTAAAAGTTGAATGCCCAATCAGCCGGTTATTGGTCTTAGCCCCTGGACTGTACTGTTGTCGGTTTTAGCCCCTGGAATTGTTTGGAGATGCTGGTGCAAGCTTGGGGCTGGAAAAGACAATCAGCTGATTGTGAGTCCTAGTCCTGGGACTGCACTGGGATGGTCCCAAAGACCCATGCATTGAGATGTCAGAAAATTTCATGTGCAGCCCAGTTTCACACATGATTTTTTAAGGTCCCAGCATGTCAGGGGACCGGGACCCAATCTCAGGTGTGGGGGATGTCAGTTGTTCTGTATACAGTTTTCAAAGGTCCCACTGCATAGATAAACCAGGATCAGGGAACCTCTCCTTGACCACAGGGCCATGGCCATAATGTGTCAAGTGCCTTGCTCTGCAGCTCTCTGGAAGCTGCTGGTTAGAGCAATCAACCTGCCAGGTCATGGAGA